TTATCTGCAATCCAAATATTCTTACAAGAGGGCGCCAATACCCCAAAAACCCTCTAACATGTATCTTTATGTAACAATGCAAAACTAAACAACAAATCAGTATAATCAGCAATATACAGCACTACTAAATGGCAATGAAGATTTTTCCTTCCACATTTAGCCCAAATTACTTTCATGTTCTTCATATTGATTTATCCTTTTAAGTATGTAACACATTTTAAAAGGTGCATGTTTGTACAACTCTTGAGATTATCTTCAAGAGAATTCACTGTCCATGTGGAAGACAAATGCAGTGACTCTGGTCAGATAGCCTGTTGTATGGCGTTATTTTTGTGCCACTATTCTGAGCGCACGTAAAAAAAAATTGAGCGCACGTAAAAAAAATTGCAGGTGCAAGTGTTGCATTTTGAGGAGAAATTTATTTTGAGCTTACAAAAGCTGAATTTGAGTGAACAAAATTCATTGCTGCGTGCAAAAAACGTATTTCAGTGTTTGCGCTTATCCATATACACACACAATAGCACCCCCTCTCGCTCAGTTTTTTCATTTGCGCTTGCTCGCAATGTGTTGCTTGCGCTCACAACATTCTCTGCTTCGTACGCTCAACTCTCTGTACACCGTTATAAGTGTGCCACAAAACCAACCAATCACAGACTTGGTTTCAAAAATTCTGATTGGCTCTTACGGTCTCCAATCAGCTCGCTAGCTACTGCTTTCCGGAAACACTGTCCGAAATGTAGCTAAATCCAGCTAAACTCTATTAAACCCCAATTTGCGGATAATATCTTTAATTATACTGAATAGCAGCACGAAAAGAGCATGCCGGTGTTCCAGATCTACTGGCGTTTAGATCAACTGGCGTTGGTCGAACAGATGTGTGGCAGTCTTGCGTTTCAGGAGCTGCTACCGACAAACCAGCAAAAAAACGCCAAATGTGTCATCTGTGACACTTGTGAGGTTGTCTCAAACACACTCCGTCAGTCTTGATGCTGTTGAACAACAAAATGTTTAAAAATGTGGCGAGTTTACCTGGTGATATCCTCATGCGCGACGCGATCGCGAAAACAGCAAACAAGTAACACCACGCCGATGTTGTTCACAGGACAGCAAGAGTAAACGATCGGGAGACTCTTGTCGTCGTTATCGTTCCCCTCGCACGGTTTATTTCTCCGAATTCAGCGTTTTTGCTTCACAACTAAAGCGAGCAGTTTACTTTGTGCACTAACATGGAGTCGAGTCAACCAGCGCCACCTCTGGCCAAGTGCCACAGCCTACAGCCAGATCAACCTGTGACACACATCTGCACCACGTTTGAATTCGTTTCATGCACAACACATTTGTACCTTTCAATTGTGTCTGTTTGTGCGTCATGCAAATAAACCTTTGAAATGAATGAAATGACACTAATATTTCACTAGTGTTGTAACATCACATGTCGTTAGTGTAGTCTGTCTGTGTCTTTTCTCTGCGAACAAACATTTTAGAGTTGGTTGTTATATACAGTCTGTATAAGTGTGGTTAATCTAATAAACATTTGTAAGGAGATGGCAGTTACTGTGAATGTACAGCAGGTGATTAGTAATAAACAGTCAGACAATGACCCTGACAATCTCATTCAATCTTGCAGAAATGCACCTTCTGTGGAAAGTGGTACCACACAGTGTGTGTGGACTTCCCCTGTGCAGAAGGCGACTACAAATGTTGTGGGTGCTAAATAAACAGAAAAAAGTGATCCCTGTTGTCTTTGCTTACTGATTGTTTTTAGTGTTGACAATCCACATTGCTGGCATTGCATCTTTCAACATGTTTGTGGGTAGATTTGGATGTACCAGGGGTAAGTGCAGCCACTCAGCCTCTACTCAATGTGATCATAGCAGCAGGTGCAGATGTGTCACAAGTTAATCTAGTAGTAGGCTATGGTAGTAGTGGACTGACCTCCATTTGAAACTGCTCCAGCTGCTGTGTGATAGTGGATCTGCTACAAATTGAAGATCATATGGAAGTTTTGGAAATTAACCCTTGTATTATGTTGAAAAACAAAAAAGTGACATTGATTTTGTTGCGGGTCATTTTGACCCGTACTGTGTAAATCCACTCAGAATTGTCAAGAAACTGCAATAAAACAATAGCAACTTTATTTCCCATCAGATAAACATGTAGAACACAGACATAATAAACAGGGGCAGGTGCTAACAAGAATTTATTCTTCTTCCTGCTCCTTTTCACCCATGGGTGCAGTGTCATATTAATGGGAAGGAGGTTCTGTATGTAGGAAAAGAAATAAATAAAGAAATGAAATGAAATGTTAGGGATGTTTCCCCAGTAACATTGGCTTTGGACACTGGGCTTTTCATCATGTTAGAAACAGGACCCTGCATTCTTTCAACCCGTGTGGCCATATTATGAAAAGAATGTAGGATTTCTTCGATATAAGAGGAAATGCAGGCTTATAGTTGATGAGGAAGCAGTTAGAGTTGAAGTGAGGAAAAACTGAAGAGAGGTGGACTGCTTTCTTTGACTTAAACCTCTCTCCACAGCTCCTCCCTGTGAATTCAGAGGAAAAGTTTCCTCCTCTCACTCTTCTGGTGTAGCAACGGTTTGACTCAGTTATTAGAAGATACTCCAGTGGTTGTCTGTTTTCTTCAAGCAAAAGGGAAGTTTGGGCATGAAAGTGTTTGGCGGGTAGCAAAAGCACTAGAATCTGTTCTCCCAGTGTGCGGCATCATGAAGCCGTTACTGCGCTTCAGCTTCCCTCTGTGGACTCTTCTGGTCTTCTGCGCCTTCCTCAAGGTAAGAAAAACGTAATCCTCTATACATTATGAGCGAAATGAAACACGACATAATTGCACTTTCCCAACTATTGCAATGCGCACGGTTTTCATGAGCTGGTGGTTCCTGCACCTGTTGCGCAGGTATTAACACATCCACAGAAGTCGGTGTGGTGTACCGCTCGCTTAAAGGGAAAGTTTATGGAAAACATTTCTGCAGTTATAACATATTAATTCTGTGCTGATACCAACAAAGATGTAATAGCAGAATAAAACATGGTCGTCTGAGTTTCAACTGCATAAAGATTTATGTCAGCAGGTAGTTAATATGCTGGACTAGAGCTGGACAGGTTTAACAATGGAGGACTATTAAAATGCATCCCTATCTAATAATTAATTCCAAAGTAGACTAAATGACTGTTTTTGTATCAAACAATGGAGAAGCTTGTTTTTAAGAACTTTTAATTTTAGAAAAACTGCTCACATCTCACTCTCTTTTTTTTCCTCCACCTGTCACACATTGGCACCCTGGCCTAAAGGAGTAATAGCAACCAGAAGCACATAAACATTCAAACTGAGTCTATAGTTTACATTATTGTATTTGCACAACTCTGTTGCTTGTGAAGCTCGCACACAAGAATTTCACTCACATGTGCTGTACCAATGTACCTGCACATGTGATGTGACAATAAAAGTGATTTGATTAGAAGCTGTAAACATAACATCTCCTCTTTAACCACAAAAAGAAATTCTCAGCTAACATAAAGTCCAAGTATGAATCAAACATTAAATAACATGTTTACTATCTCATGACATATTGTTTTGTCCATGTTGGAGGTTGTCTTTCCCTTTACAGGATTGAACCTATGACCGTCTGTGTTAGACTGATAATTTCCCTCGCTGTATCAGGTCTTGGTGCTTCTTTTGAGTTCTCTGGGCAGACTAAAAAGCATGCTGCGTTCCATCTCTTCCCATCACTGAGAATGAAAGAACTGTGACCAGTCTGCTGCAGTACCAAAAATTATTGGTCTCTCCTTTTCCTATGTGGAAAAATTTGCATACTCTAACTGAAGCACCAACAGACACTTTAGTAGGTTTAGTAGTATCTCTCTTTTTGTTTGTTATACAGCATACTTTTGTCCTGTGTCTGTGGCACTTTAGCTCTGATGTGGTCATACTGTCCATCAGTCGGCAGAGTCAGGATGTCCAATGTAGTCCACATTGGCCTCTCTCTGAGGTACTGGTCCATTATCGGTGCAGGAATGTTCTTCGTGGGCAAAAACAGAAGATAGGAATGTCATCGCAGTTGCAGTTGTGGCATTTGGGGTGAATGCAAGTTCAGTCAATAAAGGTAATAGGAAACCTGAAGTCATCTGTCCCATATTCAAATGGACCAACGAGAAAAGAATCTGAATTTATCAGAATAATTTAGGCTTTAGGAAATGTTTTGGTTCTCATCTTTTATACCATCAACACCAGAGAAGTCTGCATATCTGTTTGATAAAAAATTTTCCTCGCATGACTTAAAATATTAACTCTTATGGCAAGTTTATACATAATTATATGTGACCACAACCAGTGTTGGGAAGGTTACTTTTAAAATGTATTCCATTACAGATTACAGAATACATGCCCCAAAATGTATTCTGTAACGTATTCCGTTACGTTACTCAATGAGAGTAACGTATTCTGAATACTTTGGATTACTTAATATATTATCATGCTGTTTACAACTACGTGAATGTACTATTGCTGTGATTTATTACTGTTACTGAAGGTCCGCTAGGCCGAAGCGTTTTACATATCCAGTCATCCACCCATTCACACACACATTCACACACTGGTGATGGCAAGCTACATTGTAGCCACAGCCACCCTGGGGCGCACTGACTATACTATTACTATTGCTGTGATTTCTTACTATTACTGAAGGTCCTCGACTCCGAACTGTAGTAAAGGGACCTCTGGCTAATACGTCGGGTTCTGTGTCGGGCTCGTAGCCGAAAAATAGCTTTACTTTGTTGTCTGGGTCAACTTTGCTTGCGAGAGACAGAGAGAGGCGTTGAAAGGCTGCTCCAACGGAACTTATTGTTTCGGAGGAAAACACGAACACAGCGTACAGTCGAGTCTTAATAGCTTACTTACAACTGGGCTCGTCAGGCACTCTTCTTGGCTGCAGTGGTTATTATTATATTTACATGCTTCCAGCTCCCGTTTTTGCTCGATGAACTCGTACTTTTCCTTTTTCTCCCTCCTCGCGCTCACAGACACATAACGGTATGGCAGTCCATTCTCCCTGCAGCACGGACTACACTGCCATGATGCTACATTCTTTAGAGCTATCCGGTAGCATTGGTTAGAAGAACGGAGTAGGGTGGAGTGGAGTGGGAGGGAAGGGTCTGTAGTGAGGGAGGGAGGGGGAGGTGCGGGGGTATCGTGTGTGAAACTTGTATGAAAAGCATATAAGTGTGAAAACAGATATGCCTTTAAAAAAAATTATATAATGAAACTTGTATGTTTTGGATACTTACTAAAGCAATGTATGAAAGTAATGAGAAAGTGGCCACTTTCATGAGTAAATCATATAATATATGATTTACTATGAAAGTGGCCACTCTTCAAGTGAAATCACATATAAGTTTTACTATTTCTTTTCCGTAGGGATACCTGTAGCATTCTGCCTATTAGCTTAGCACAACAACAACAAAAAGGCGCTCTCTCACCCAGGAAACACGCAGAGAGAGAGCGTCACCCTGTAACCATGGCAACCGTAACGCTGCCGCCTGGAACAACAGAACATAGCTGTCAAACAAAACCCAAACAGTCCTGACCCGCCACAATATGAAACAGGAAAGTACCGCCGTGTAATCCATTTATTTCAACAAAGTAACTGTATTCTAAATACCACCTTTTTAAACGGTAACTGTAACGGAATACAGTTACTCATATTTTGTATTTTAAATACGTAACCGTGGTACATGTATGCCGTTACTCCCCAACACTGACCCCAACACATGTGTAATGGTCCTGAGTATGATGACTCAGTTTTTTTGTTTTGATTAACATTATCTTATGTTTTGGTTTAATTCTGGTTATGTCTCTTGAGATTTTCTAGTTCTTAGGTTTTGGTTCCTGTTTCATTTTGATAGTCCTGCTCCTCTTTTCCCTGTCTCGTGTGCCTAATTAGTTCCAGCTTTGTTTCCCTCCTGTCTCCCATTCTCTGATTTCTCAGATGTGTAATTTAGTCCTCTGTGATCCCTTGCTTGTTGTCGCATTCTCCCTCGTAGCTGTGTGCTTTCCCTTGTAACTCCTAGTTTCCTGTTCTCTAGTCTTAGTTTCAGGTTTTCCCGTTTAGGTTTTGTTTTGTAGTATTCTAGAGTGTTACAGCAAAATAAATTCCTCCTGCTTGCCAAATTCTCAAAAACTAAAACATTGTGTTAATATCAGAGATTTTAGTCTTCACAATTCTGAAATATGACATTTACCAAGAAAACTACAAGAATGAAAATGCTGGGGTATAACAAAGGCTGTAAAGATTCAAATGTAAAGGGATTTGACTGATTTTAATGTTGTAGCAGTCACTGATCTTTTCACGGTTCTGGGTCATTTTGACCCAGCATTTTCTGTTTATTATAGTTTGGTGTTTTTCTAGATTATGTTTTATGTTCTGATTCTTTAGTTGTGCTGTTTTGATTATTATTGTAGGTTTAGTTCAGTGTCAAGTTTGCGTCTTTGTGATTTCTTGTTTCCTGTTTTATTTGATACTCTCAGTCCTATGTCAGCGTATTCAGTTTCACCTCCCCCTGTCTCGTTAGCCCTAATCTCTCCCAGCTGTGTCTCCCTCCTGTTTCCCATTCCCTGATTACTCCCTGTGTATATAAGCCCTGTGTTTTCCTTTGATCTCTGTTGTGTCATACCCTCTACATGCTGTGTGTTTGACTCCTGTTCAGTTTCCGATGTTCCTATTCAGGCCATAGTACCTATGTTTAGAGTTTTAGTTTTGTTTGTTGGAGAGTTAGATTTATGAAGTGTTTTTCCCGCAATAAAGGCTGTGCTTTGAGTTTAAGCCCTGTCTCCAAAAGTCTTGCATTTTGGGTCATTTTTGCTGCCTGCCTGCCAGACAGCCTATCATTACAGATCTCTTCCCGAAATACAAATTTGTCCTAATGGTATCTATACTGTGATTGCGTATGTTGACTCATCTTTACGATATGATTTCTTTTCTAAAATAAAACCTTAATATTTCATATGTTATATGATACCCATTTACAAGAATAATTATCAGTTTTATGGCAATGACTCATTCAGTAACATTTGAGATGTGTACTGTATGCATAATTTATTTCTTCATGTTTGACATCACCGTTATTTACTGGAGCAACAACTGCTTTTTTTGAGGCATAAGGAAATGCTCACACAGATGTATTTATAATTTAGTTGATAGGTAGTACAGAAATATTTTTGTATGTCAAAGAGGCAGACAAACTCTTCACTGTCATTTGCCTCTCAGTTTGTTTGTGATGTAATCATTTTTCTAGTTACCCACTTACAAACTATAAATGTAGTTTTACATGTGACTTCTAACTACAGGTAGTGAAAGTTTGTTAAAAATATCAACTATCATAAAATATCATATCATTAAACAACAAAGATTCACCATATAATTATTTGGCAGATGCAATAAAATCCTTACAATTATCCAAGACCCTTATTCTGAACCTGAGTTGCCTCTAATGTATCTATCCGCATGTGAGTGTGTGTGTGAATGCTAGACATGCTGCTTAAGTTTAGAAAAAGTGCTTGTATGTGCTTGTGTGTTTATTTAGCTGAATGAAAGTTGTATTAAAAACAAACTTTGAGTAGTCAGTCATATATATATACAAGTGCATATTTATTTCAAAGACTATTTTCATTGTTGCATCTCTAGACTCCGTCAGATGCCACAAAGCATTGTTCAGCCAAGGTACTTGTTGCTGTTAAATATCTCTCCATTTGGATCATAGCTTTGTAAAAGTGTTAATCTTCTCCTGTGTGTTTTATCAGGCCACTTCATATTAAAATCTCAAAAATTCAAGTTTGGAGTCAGTCAACAACACAAGTTGTTTAGTCTTTAGTAAAACACTCCCAATGTTCAAGCAATCAAGGATCAATCAAGACCCATAGAGTCATGCTCATTAACGGACCAAATGTAAAAAAGGGTCATGATCTGTGAAAGCACAAAGAAACACTACTGAGCATTTGAGTGTTTATTTGAACCATCAAAATAGAAAATGTGATACCTTGAGAAATCTGTGTGTAAACATTTTGAAGTTTGCAAATTAATTCCTGATTACTAAACACTCAAACATTGTTATGGGAAAATCTACAGATAAATTCATTAATTTTTGGTCAGTGTAAAGAGAAGCAGCTTGACGCTGCCATCAGGTGAAATCAAGGCTACGTCCACACGTACACGGGTATTTTTGAAAACGGAGATTTTCCGTTTTCGTTTTAAAAAATAATCCCGTCCACACGTAAAGGCAGAAATGAAGGAAAACGCTGCTATGAACATGCTAAAGCAACAGGTGGCGATATATTCCTAACCGTGCAGAAATGTTGGCCAATCAGAAGTCTAGAAGCCTCGGTGGGAAAAAGTAAACAAAGCTGGGGCGTAGAAGCAGAACTGAGTAGTATGTGTGGAGGGACAGTAACTGTGTGTATATGTAAGCATTTAAACACTGCAGAGAGTAGAATTAACAGTAATAGTATTGTAGAAATTCATTTCACCGAAACAATAACGTGGCGCACAGTGTGACGTCAAAACATGCGCACACCTTTGACGCTGGTTTTCTCCGTTTTTCTCGTCCACACGTAAATGCAAAGACGGAGTTTTCAAAAATATCCACCCTTGCCGAAGTTTTTAAAAATCTCAGTTTTCAGTGACCAAAAACGCCGTTTACGTGTGGACGAAAGGTGCAAACGCATAGAAAAATCTGCGTTTTCAAAAATACCCGGGTACGTGTGGTCGTAGCCCAAGTTTTGGCTGGTTTGACCTGATAGCAGGTTCACTCTCCTTTCACGCAGAAGGAACAAAAAAAAAATCCTGCATACACATCCAGCTTTGAATTTCAGCAGTGACCTGTGACATCGAACAGCTGGTTGGTTTGATGCTTTGAATCTGTTCAAAACTAAATGCTGACCTCTGCTGGTGTAAAAATGATTTACCTTGTTTTTTCTGTGTTAATCTCTGCAGAGCTCCCAAGCACAAAATATCTGTAAGTACTGGTTCCTCATTTATTCATGTGCTCTCTGTCTGATATCATGCATTTGTATAGATCAAAACTAAAGTTTTGCTGATTTCTCACTGTTGTCTTGAATGTCTTGGTTTACTTGTTCTTCTTTTTAGCAAATTGTGCAACAGGAACCTTAAATATAACAACCACCACAACAACAGCAGATCTCACCTTTCAACTTGACCCAAACTGCAGCTTAACAGTTGGCGGTAATATGTCTGAAAAAGGTTTAATAACTGGTCTGACTCCTGGAGCTGTCTATCAAATTGTCTTAAACTGTTTAGGCTCCTGCAATATGTCAAACATCACAACAAGTAAGTAATTTTATTTTTCTTAAATATATAAACTAATGATTCTGTGAGTTGGATGACAGTGATGTTAATATTAGTTTATAACCAATAATGAGAATATGATGAACTGATTTGTTTCCTGTTGACGTATCTCTAATTCACAGAGCCAGAAACGGTCAGTTTAACAGTCACTGATATCACAACATCCTCTATGTTTGTGAGCTGGACTAAACCAGTGGGAAACAGCTTCTTCTATAAAGTACAGTGGACGAACTTCTCTGTAAATGTCAGTGAGACATTTTATAATATTATTAACCTGACTGCTGGTGTCCAGTATGAAATAAATGTCACTGCAGTGGCTGGTGATGGTTCTACTGAGGGACAGAGTGCTACTGTCACCAAGTACACAAGTAAGTGAGCATTTACATGTTTTCATACTGTGAATTAGTGACTGTCTGCTGAGGGTATCTGGTAAAATAAGGAGTCTTCTATCATCATAAGATAAGTTAAATTCAAAGGAAAGTAGAAGAAGAAATCCAGATGTAGAAGAAGAAGCCCTTTGAAGTGAGAAGGTTGGATCTCTCACCGATGTGTCCTCATATAACAGCTGTAGTTGTGCTCACTCTGTGTTTGAGTAACAGCTCCAATAATGGTTTGCATTTCTTCTGTACGTCTAGTTTAGATCTTCCTCTGAACTTCCAGCTGCATGAAATGTTACAGGGTCAGCATGTTGCTGCTCGTGTGTTTTTACTGTAACTTTGAGACAGAGAAGACTTGAGCCGATTTAACAGCTGCTTCTATCTTGTAGAGTGGACAGATAGACATTTAAATGAGAATCACAGTGTGAATAACACATAAATAACCATCAGTGCACTAACTGCCTGTGTACAGATTTAGCATTACTGCAGTGGCTGGTTGATATAAGATTTTTTGGTTTTGTGATTATGTTTAGTTGTAGCTTCATTTAAAGGAAGAAGAGCTTGTGAATTGGAACCACCACAGAGAAAGGGAGTGAAAACATATGTGCAGAGGAATGTCTGAATTTCTATAGATACCAAGTTATCTCCTGTTTCAGCTGACAAGCGAACAGTCTCTCCTTTTATGGAAATGTTTTATATTTTGAACATGCCACTCCTACTTCCTTGAAAACTTGTTTAAGTATAAATAAAGAAAGCTCTGAAAGCCCTGGGCGGTTTTTCCTCTGTCTCACATCTGTCCTGCACACCTCTGGCACAGGATGGATCGGACGGTGAGGGACAATCGTCCATGTGTGCACATGTAAAAGATATCTTGAGTTTGAGTTTCTTTGCCTTCTAATAATTTTCTCACACTGGTGATGAGCAAACTACGGGAGCTGCAGAGTTAATTTCACTGTATACAAACAGTGTGCAGGAATTCAACATCTGAATGAATTTGTAATCAGTGTTTTTCAAATGCTGTCCCTTAGGTGTTCTTTACTAAATTTGCAGCATAT